CTATCTATCTATCTATCTATCTATCTATCTATCTATCTATCTATCTATCTATCTATCTATCTATCTATCTATCTATCTATCTATCTATCTATCTAATTAATTCATCTCGGCCACCTAGGAAGAGTGGCACCTAGTGATATGTTTAGAAAAAGGGAAAAAATACTGGGTTGTCTATGTTAGGTTAATTTTGATAATAGTTGTCATTGTTGTACTAAAATTTGTAAAGCTTGCCTTAAACTGCATCATTAGATATTCTTCTGCTCCTCTCCCACACATCTAGGATGCTGGGGGCTGAGGGCAGAAGTGCTTCGGGGTTCCCTTGCCCAAGTTCAAACCGATCGATCGATGTTTTGTCTTTCTTCACGGGTGATAATTCTCTGAACCAGTGGGCCTGTTAGCGCAGACCCAACAGTCTACTTTAAAAACATATAAACTGTCCTTTTAATTAATATCTATGTGTTTTAAACATGTTTTCAACACTTAAAACCAGCTTCTACAGTGACATTAGTGTAACAAATCAGTCATGTTTATTATAACTTGTTTACTGCAAAGTATTTCCTCTACAAAAGCACATTATTTTCTACCCACCATATCAGCTTTCATTTTTCTACTTAATTGCAATAATATATGTAGCAGTGAAATTATGACATGCAAATAGTAATGCTAATTTAAAAAATGAAAGTAGTGTTTAAAAGAGGTAAAGGAGGTGCTCAATTTTTTTACTTGTCATATGTTCAGTGTGCCTGCCCAGTGTATGTAGTTTCTGGTTATCTGGTAAGTTATCATTCTCTAATTTAATTTATTCATGGTAGTGATGGGAATTCTGTCTCGGCTCACTAAAAAGAGCCGTCTCTTTTGGCTCCTAACCGGCTCTTCACGTTGTTTTGTTGCTTTAATTTATTTATTATCAACAATAATCCTTTATCATCTGCAAGGCTCACGTGCCAGTTGAAAAGGAATAAAAGGGGAGAGAGAAGTTCTTATTTTGTTTTTTTCTGCTTTCTGATAAAAAAATGTGTTGTGTGTGTCTTTTTCCAGCTATTTGTAACAAATGTACAGAGAACATACAAACTGAATAAAATATACACACATGCCAGCTTTTAATTTAGTTAATTTAGTTTAAAGGAAACCATAGGTTAATTTTTTTCATTATTGGAAATTATTTCTAACAGATCTTGGTTAACCTCCTCAGTTCAGCCACGGCCTGTTTTAGTTTCCTTTAAGACAAACTTTCTACTGATTGGTTTAACGTCACAATGACAAGATTTGAACAGTAGTTAGGAACAGCAGCTGTGCTCGTAGTCAAACTTCTTTTACTTTATATGGTCTTTAGTAGCCATCCAGCTTATGCAAAGTTTGTTGTGGTTATGTGGTCATGTCATGTGTCGAGATTGTTGCTATGGTTTCCAAGAAAAAAAAACATGGCTTTGACATTCACGGCTCATAAGACTGTCACGTCTTCTTTAGTGTTCTTATTAATTCTACCTAAACATGTATATTTCAAAATGGGTGTTAATTCTTACAGATCCCTTTGTATTAACTGGTTAGAAAAGACAGGGCAATAAGCTGGCTCTTTGGGACATGATTAACATTGTGAATTGTTCATACCATGATCTTTTTCTAAACTTTCTAAACACCAAGCAGTTTGATTGAATAAACAACAAATGTAAACTAAAAATGATTTAAAAAAATTATCAGTCAAAATCAAAGAATACTCACTGGACATACAATCTAGTACCCTTTGTTATTGTCCCATGTTTGACCCACTAATACACCACATCCTTGTACTGTTGGAACACATGTGACTCTGTAAAGCCATGAAGGGAATCTTCTCCTACCGCACTGCACAGGCACAAAAACAAGAACATGAAGTGAAAGTTTAAAAAAATGAGAACTGAGGCAAGTATTTCAAAACATGAAACAAAGACAACATGACTTTAAGGAACAAAGTAAGACATCACACATTACTGTAGTGCTGTTAACATGCAACATATTTAATGCATTATGTGATTTTTCCTGAAGAAAAATAACAGCCACATGGATTGTCAACATATCAAATTTTGATCAAAGCACCTGAGCTGTGCTAAAGTTCACAGAGATGAGAGAACTTGAGTTATGGCTGAAGACTGCATGTCTTTGTCTAACATGTAAGCTGATGTTTGCTGATTAAGAACTGATAGTGCTGACAACAGCATTCAGACAGATAATCAGTTACAGTGAGTGTGAAAAATCATTTGAAAAGAACAAACAATTTATTTGAGAAAAAACCCTGACACATCAGAAAACAACGTTCATTTAGAGTGTGTTTTGAAACATTTGCTCTCATGTTTCTATGGTAAATACAAAGCTGCAGTCAGCACACAATGACATGTTTATAAATCACGTGGAAGGTTTAAATAAATATGTAACAGCATCTTAAAAGTTCATTAATAATATTTTCAGGCCAACATGATAACAACCCTCCACCAAAACATTGAAAAACAATCATGTACATGATATAACAAGATGTAGGTGATATAAAGCATGTACATATTAGTCTTCCTGTCATTCTAGTGAATGCAGGCCTCTTAAGAAGCAAAGCAGCACAAATGAACAACAAACACTTTAACTGTTCTGTACCTACAAAAAGGGTCAATTAAACATGTTCTAGTTATGCAGGTGAGGGTTTTAAAAAGTGTATCATTGCAGGTTCACAGTATGTGAAGTGTGTCTCACTGTGGGCAGGTAATGTGAAGGCTGTGGTTTTCCTGAAAGCAAGTTCTCTTGATGACATTTAATGTAGGTGAGAGTCAGAGCAGTCAGACTGCTGTAGTCTGTTCTGCACAGTCACATTGTTCTTTTAATCATGGCTGGTCTCCTGCTGCTAGTCGTTCTCATGTGTAAGTTCAACTTTTTACCAGGTTCATTTGTTGTTCATGCCATCTATTCCTTAATATGTGCTTACTTATAATGGCTGTCAGGTGTTGTTATTAACATGTTTCTCTTTCTTACATAAGACTTCTAAAACTAATTTACACTTTGAATTTTTTTTATTGTTTAATCTATTTTGTTTTTCCTTCTTCAGATTCTTTTCATGAAATTAAAGCACAAGGTTAGTCTCAGTTTCATGTTTTTTTTTTTATCTCTGTCTGGGATATTTACCATTTTTCTGGAGCTTTTCTATAGTAACTCAGCTTTGCTCATCTTAAAAACTTTTTATACGTATGTAAACTATTTAAAATAAAATCTGTGTATATGTAATTTCAGCCAGTCTTCCGCCTGAACTGACAGTGCATCCACCTGCGATCACAGAGACGGACTCAGTCACACTGAGCTGTCAGACTCCATCATCTGTTTCTGTGTCTCAGTGTGATTTCTACATTGCAAGCCAGAAACTGTCCAAAGGTTCCTCCTGTGTGCAGACACTGACAGCGACTGAGCTGCTGAAGATTGCACATAAGAGTTTACCTGCTGAGGCTGAAGTGAGATGTTCTTACACTGTACAAATTGATACTTTTAAACGTACATCTCCTGACAGCGAGCCATCCACCATCACCATAAACAGTGAGTGACAAAAGTACATGAACAGTTTATAATATGTTTCAATAATACTTATGGAGTTGATTAGTTATTATCTGAGTACTTGCAATAATTATAAATCAAAATGTAATAATTATAATTCTACAATATAAAATATATAATATAGATGCAAATGTGCTTAAATTAATCTAACATGTACCTGAATTTTTCAGATCTTCGTCCACCTAACCTGACAGTAAATCCACAGATGATCACAGAGACAGACTCAGTCACAGTGAACTGTCAGACTCCATCATCTGTTTCTGTGTCTCAGTGTTATTTCATCATTTCAGGAGATAAAACTGCCAAAACATCTTCTTGTCTGTGGACTTTCACAGGGTCTGAATTTCTGTCATGGACACGTCAACGTTCACCTGTTACACTTGAAATGACCTGTTATTACATTTATATATATAAATCTCCAGTGAGTAACATGTCACCAATCACAATACAAAGTGAGTAAATGCTACTGGAATGAACGCAGTAATATTAAGTTTAAATGTGCATCAGATTAAAACTTTCAGAGTAGTTTTTTTATTTTATTGTCAAATAAATGTAATGTTTTCTCTTTTAACTCAACAAATGCTTGCATTTCTTAGCTCCTCGACCCGAACTGACAGTGAATCCACAGATGATCACAGAGACAGAATCAGTCACAGTGAACTGTCAGACTCCATCATCTGTTCCTGTGACTCAGTGTTTTTTGTACTTTATGAATGGAAGAAAATCTACGTCCATCTCCTGTCAGCAGACACTTACAGGAACTGAGCTGCTCTCTATGGCACGGCAGAGTTCACCTGCTGAGGTGGATGTGACATGTTTTTACAGCTCAGAGCATAAAGGAGGACAATACCAGTCTCCTCACAGCAACAAATATTCCATCAGCATACAAAGTAAGTGATCACGCTGTGAGTGAAGAGGAACATTTTCATGTGCATCAGACTTAACCATGTAAAAAAAAACCTCTCTATTAGATCTTATTTCAAATAAATTAAACATTTGCTTATTTAACTCAACAAATGTTTACATTTTTTAGATCCTCGGCCTGAACTGGCAGTGAATCCACAGATGATCACAGAGACAGACTCAGTCACAGTGAACTGTCAGACTCCATCATCTGTTCCTGTGTCTCAGTGTTATTTCATCATTTCAGGACATAAACCTGATAAAGCAGCTCCTTGTCTGCAGACTCTGACAGGGTCTGAATTTCTGTCATGGACACGTCAAAGTTCACCTCTTGCAGCTGAAGTGACCTGTTATTACTTTTATATACAGAAATCTCCAGAGAGCAACATGTCACCCATCAATATACAACGTGAGTAAATTCTGCTGAAGTGCACTGATGTGAGGATGTTTGTCTACAGTATCAGTACAAAAAACAAAGCTGCTCTCAACTTAGGGGTTGTAGGAGGAAATTGTTCTTGTGTATCAGACTTGATCATTTTAAAAAGTAAAACTCTCAGATCAGTTTCTATTAATATATTTTATTTTTAAGTAAATGAAACATTTGCTTATTTAACTCAACAACTGTTTACATTTTTAGCTCCTCGGCCTGAACTGACAGTGAATCCAACTATGATCACAGAAACAGACTCAGTCACAGTGAACTGTCAGACTCCATCATCTGTTCCTGTGTCTCAGTGTTTTTTGTACTTTATGAGAGGAAGAAAATCTGCGTCCATCTCCTGTCAGCAGACACTGACAGCAACTGAGCTCCTCTCTATGGCACAGCAGAGATTACCTGCTGAGGTCAAAGTGACATGTTTTTACACATTAGAACATAAAGGAGGACCACATAAGTCTCTGCATAGTAACACGTCCTCCATCAGCATACAAAGTAAGTGATCATAACATGCGGCTCTACAGTATACCTCTGAACAGTATGTGCATAAAGTTTTAGCTTTTATAAACCAAAGAATGAAACTAAAAACTGATTTTTATAAAGTTTTTCATTTACATGTAACTGATGTTACATTCTTAAATAAACTGCAATTTGTTTGAATTAAGGACTAAATCTATTTTATATAAAATTTCCATTGAGTAACATGTCAGAAATTACAGCTATTATACAAAGTGAGTCAATACTAATGCAATGAACTAATATGAGGATTTCTGACAACAGTATCTGTAGAAAAAACCAACAACCTCTTTCAACTTGTCGGTTGTTGTAGTGAGGAAAATTTAAATATGCATAAGATACATAAGCAGTTTCTCTTATTAGGTTTTATTTTCAAATAAATGAAACATTTATTTATTTAACTTGAGAAATCTTTACATTTTGTAGCTCCTCGACCTGAGCTGACAGTGAATCCACAGATGATCACAGAAACAGACTCAGTCACAGTGAAATGTCAGACTCCATCATCTGTTTCTGTGACTCAGTGTTTTTTGTACTTTATGAGAAGAAGAAAATCTACGTCCATCTCCTGTCAGCAGACACTTACAGCAACTGAGCTCCTCTCTATGGCACAGCAGAGTTCACCTGCTGAGGTGGTAGTGACATGTTTTTACATGTCACAGCATAAAGGGGGACAATACCAGTCTCCTCACAGTAACATATCCTTCATTAACATACAAAGTAAGTGATCACAATGTGTTGCTCTCTATTATACCTCATTACAGGATGTGCATTTATTTCTACAAACCAAAAAGGGAAGCTAAAACCTGATGTTTATAGGGTTCTGTTTACCTTTAATAATGTAATCTACAAGATTTTAGGCAGTGATACATATTTCCATCCTTGAATAAACTGCCTATCTCTTGAATTGATTTAAGTCCGTCCAGGGAGCAGAATTCTGAGTATTGATGGATGTATTTACAGTGCATTATGTGTTATGCACTGACGTCAGATGACAGCAAAACAATATTATAGGGCTTCAGCTACCGATTATTTTAGTAATTGAGTGAGCTTCCATATTAGAAATTGCAAAATTTACTGCGTATAAGATCTGTCAAAAACTCGTATTTGTAATTCATATTTAAATTATAATATATATATATATATTATATATATATTATTATATATATACTATATATATATATATATATATATTATATTAAGTTTTAATGTGTGTTTGTGTGTGTGTGTGTCTGTTGTGTGTGGTGTGTGGTGTTGTGTGTGTGTGTGTGATGAGTGTTTGGGGGGGGGGGGGGGGGGGGGGGGGGGGGGGGGGGGGGGGGGGGGGGGGGGGGGGGGGGGGGGGGGGGGGGGGGGGGGGGGGGGGGGGGGGGGGGGGGGGGGGGGGGGGGGGGGGGGGGGGGGGGGGGGGTGTGAGTGTGTTTGTGTGTATATTTATATACAATGATGTATTTTAAGAAAGCTTTATCTTAAATTTAAAAAAGTATAAATAATTGAAAGTACAGTCAAAGGTCCAATTAAATAAAGCAAGATATATGTGTAATCTAAACTAAGGCACAAAATGATACGATGGTCTAGATGTTAATAATAAATATTAATAATAATTCAGTGTCCAACCTAACAACTCTCAGGTCAGTGGATCAGAGTTTAAATGCCCATTTATATTTTTATTAGGTTGTTAAAAAAGTTTTTATTGCTATATTTTTCAATATTAATGCAGTTTAATTAGCACATTATCTGATATGATTTCACTTTCAGTGTGAAAAATGTTACAAGAGTCTTCAGGTTAATATGGTTTAGCCCATGTTTGCTGCAGGTACCACTCCCATGTACAATAAGACTGTTACCTTCAGCCTTCAGCAAGCTGTATGATTTAACCAGTCTGGTCTCAGACTCAGTTCGTCTGCATATTTTAATACTACTTTTGGAGGTTTACTGCAGATTTTTTTCTTTGTTTAGAACAAATAGCAGTGGATGGAGCAGCTGCAGAGTTTGCTTTTCTTCACGTCGGAAGTTTATTAATCAGGTGCTTTGATGAAGGACTTACGCTAAAGTAAAGATTTTAATGGTGATTACAGGAACTTTGCTGCTGTTTTGACGTTAGAGACACATTTTGTTTCACTCACCTTGAGCTCACTGTCTCGGTAACGCCACTTGCGCATAAACAAACTCCGGCTCCATGTTAAATTGTGTCAGTGTCATTATCACTGTTCCTATTGTGTTATCAGTGTGTGTGGGATCAATGTTGTCAAACCTTTTATTCACACACTGCTTCTAAATACTTTTGTATTGCAGGTCTTGTTCTAGTTGTGTTTACATCGTTTAATACATCGGAGCACTACAGAGCCGCGTGTTAAAGGAAGCATCGATGCAAAGGCTGTGTCATGAGTTTTTTATAATCACTCAATCAGTATTAAAGCCCTAGAACAAGTGTTGTAGGGCTAAGTGTAAAACATTGACACTGTGCTGTTGTATGGCAGTATTGCAGTAGTGGAAGAAAAATGCCTTTTGTGGTGAATCCACAAGAAACTCAAATAGTGAAACAATCACTACACAATCTTCTTTTATTGCAGCTGAAAAAAACACTTTGACCTCTGCTCCTCCCCCATCTATGGACTTTACAAGTCACACAATCAGGAGAAACACAACTATTGGTAAGATTTTTACAAGTGAGTAAAAATGTCCAGGTCAATTGCTGTGGTGCTTTTTTGACATTTGGAGATATTCATTTCAGTGGAGACTACTTCTTCTCTGACCACACCAAGGACATCTTCAGGTGAGCGAATTTCCTTAAACCGTGTATTCATCATACTAGGAGTGTTTTGCTTTGCATATCAGTGAAGTTTGTTCTTTTCCTACATGTCATTCAGCATACTTTGCTGCTCTCAAGACTAGGGATGGGTATTGATACGATTTTAACGATTCCGATTCCATTTTCGATTCTGTTTAACGATTCGATTC